TTTTTGCGGGGGTGGGGAGCAGGGGTGAAAGATTAAGTATAATCCTGATTATAAAATGCTTAGTATACAGAGGGCATGTCTTAAGCACTACTTAGTAAATAATGACAGCTATTATTAGCTGACTGGGACATCTTCAGCTGACTGGGGGAATAAAAGCAACTTCAGAATTTCTAGTAGAAAAGACTCATGGGCAGCATTCACATTGGGGAAGGCACTGCTTCTACACTGATTCTGTGCTTAGCTGGAGAAAATGAGGATGGGTTTGAGAAGATGTGGAGGAATTAGAGTCTTCCCCTTCAACCCTATAAGCACTTCTCTTATCCCAGAGATACACAGGGGATTTCTCTAACAGTCCCTTCCCCTGAGTTTCCCCCATCCAACCACCTAACTGGGCTACAAATACAAAATAGCCCCTACAAAGTGGATGTAACCCATGTGATTCTGCAATCTGTATACGGGGTAAAAATGGGAGTTCATAATCTGCTTGAATCAAATGTATGAAATATGATATGTCAAGAGCTTTGTAATGTTTTGAACAACTAATAATAATAAAAAAATAGTAAAAAAACAAAAATAGCCCCTACAAAGTGAAGGAAGGGAAAGAGAGGAATATTGAGTGTAAGGGTCCGGCGAACGTCGGAGGAAGAGGACCACCAAGAGACCGACTCATGCAACAGCAAAAGGGGGTTTATTGAGGATCCAGCGCGCTGGGGCTCCAGGCTCACTCAAGAAGGGAGAGCGGCCAAGAGCCCCGAGCAGGGGTTAAGCAGTGCTTAAGTACACTTTTTGGGGAGGGCGGGGGCTTTGCATACATCAGAGCAAATCATCATGAGGCGCGGGAAAATCAAACAACAATTCTTAAACATGATTAGCACATTCATTGGCGGGAACAGGTCGGGCGGGGGTGATAGGTCAGTCCTAAAGCAGGGTATACATTCAAACTGATTGGTTTAGGCTCTGAGATGCCTACATGCCAAGCTGCACAGGGTCTAGGTTATTAAACAACTAAATGGTCAGGGGGAATATCTACTGGGCAGTCCCGGGAATTGTCCTAACAGCTACAGGAATTTCAGGTTTTGAGTGTAGCATAGGAACTTAACAATACCTGGTCCTTTACATTTTTAACTCAGGCTTTGCAGCTTAGAAACTTTACAATACCCGGTCTTTTACACTTTAACTTCAATTTCTTTTACTCTTTCATGAGCTTTCTTGCTAGGAGTGTGGATGCCCTATTCTTGTGGCCCTCTGCTAGAAAACCACTTGTTTCCCTTGGACTTGTTACCAGGATCACAGAAACCGACTTTGGGGTACACACAGACCAGGTTCAGCCACTCATCTCAACAACAACAACAACAAAACAAAACAAAAAAACCTTGGAGAAGTTGGTGGAATTAAATTTAATTTCAGTGTGCCACGCCAGGAAGACAGATCTAAGGACCACTTTTGGGATGTTGGTGTTACCACTGTTTACCGGTTTACCTTACTTCCCAGATGCTGAAGTACAACATCAGAGAAGCACGCCGAGGCAAGTTTAGAGTGGAAAGTTGAAGCTTTATTAAAGGACAGTAGAAAAGACTTGTCCCCAGAGGAAGAAGGGGACCCAGGAGGTGGAATCCGTGGAAGGCAACATCTTCCCTCTTTTATAACTAAGGTCTTCTTTCAGCTTTCCCACATTCCTGTTGTCGGAGTTTCTGTCCTTTGTTCTGTTATCTTGCAGTGATGGAATGTAGTTGGGAAGGCCCAAAGGGTGGGAGACAGGTGGGCCGAAGGAGTAATCTGGGCAGGAAGAACTTTTGGATTAGCATCTCCAGGTTTTCTGGGAGCTGCTTCATTAACATTTCCTTGGGATGGGTTCTGGGCCTTGGGGACATTTTCAATTCCCCTTTCCCTGGACTCCATTCTCAACATGGCCTTCATTCTCGATTTTACCCGATATTAGACCCGATTTACCTAACTATACTAACTACCTATCTTTAAATCTGGCTTCATTGGTAGTAGCTCTGGGGTTATAAGAAGGAAAGAACAAAGGCAAAAGCTGTGAAGCTTGTGTAATATGCAGAGTCTTCTCAGTTTGTGGGGTTGGGTGAGCCAATATTCATTTGGTGTCAAGGGAGTAATCTCAATTTACTTCACCGGATGTTTATCTATCAGGCCCAGTGATCCTGAACGTTAAGATAAACTGAGGGAAAAAGCCAGGTGCCATGGCTCATGTGTGTAACCTCAGCAATTCAGGAGGCTAAAGCAAGAGGATTTCCAGTTCCAGTCCAGCTTCAACAACTTAAGGAGGCTCTAAGTAACAGCGAGATTCTGTCTCAAAACAAAAAAATAAAAAGGGCTGGGGATGTAGCCCCTGGGTTCCAAGCCCCAGTACCAAAAGCAAAAAAAAAAAAAAACAAAACACAAAAAACCTAGAGGGAAAGCACAACTTCAGAAAAGGACAGGTCAGGGAGGCAAAATGATGTTATTTAGGTTAATAAGTCAATCTTCCTTTAGGCTCATCTGGTAGAGAAATCCCACTTAGCACTTCAGGTTTGCTCTTCTCTAACTTTAGTCAATCTCTCTTTAGATATGAGGTTTTATTGGTCACAGACAAGGGGTGTCTTGTCCTGGTTCCCCCATCAAGCCCCCAAGTGCATATTGGCTTCCAAATGCACCTTCAATCTTGGGGGATGCTGGTCAGAATTCACTTTGCTGAAGCTGGAGGAAACAGATGTTCACTTCAGCATCAGCTCACACAGGCATCCAGGGCCTCAGTCAGTCTTTTCTGCTCCAATATCCCTCCTCACCCAGGAAGATACTTGGCCTTGAAATCTTTTTCTTTTCTTTTAAATATTTTTTATAATGGATATAATGGTGTATTAAGAATTATAATGCAAAAATAAATAAATATTTTTAGTTTTTTTAATATTTATTTTTTGGTTAGACACAATACCTTTATTTTGTTTATTTATTTATTTTTATGTGGTGTTGAGGATTGAACCCAGGGCCTTGCACATGCTAGGCGAGTGCTCTACCACTGAGTCACAACCTCAGCCCTATTTTTTAGTTTTAGATGGACACAATACCTTTATATTTATGTGGTACTGAGGATCAAACTCAGTGTCTCACATGTGCCAGGCAAGCACTTTGCCACTGAGCCACAACCCCAGCCTGCACAGTGACTTTTTTGCAGTATGTTTCCTCCATACCAAAACGAAGTCTAAGTATCATTGCTTATCTGGAGGGTTTAGCACAGTACCTGTGTAAAGTAAGTTTTGGGAAATGTTAGCTTTCATTGCCTTTCATGCACTTGGAAACATGCCTTGAAGTCAACTGGCAAATCTATTAACCTGCTCAAATAATATGGAAAAGATCCCAGGTTCTAGGAAGTCTTATTACAGGGTTCAAGGCCTTCTGGGAAACTGGGACTGTGAAGGCTTTCCTTCAAACTCTAATTCTTGTGATCAAGTCAGAAAGATTTCAGACAAGTCATTCAGAGTAACAGGCAAGGATTTTATTAGAAGGGATATGAAAGGGGAAAAGGGAACAAGTTCAAGGGAAAGAGTGGGTCCTCTGAAAGGAGAGGGACAACTTGCCTCTCTTGTACTCCAGTTTTATTGGGGAATCCCAAAGAAATTTCCTGGGAGTCCTGCCCAGGTCTACCTCTTGACTTGACTGATAGTAGTATGACATCAGATTTCAAGTCCCCACTCCCTTGACAACTCAAGGTCATTTTGGCTCATATTGACTAATTCTAACTGGATTCTTAGCCAAAAAATTGTTATGGATTTTAGGCCAGGAGGAATTATCCTTATCTCTCTGGATTCTGGGATCTGATCTGTGAAAAGGGTCACAATACTCTCCCCCTTCAGGGTAACGTGGGTTCCTCTTTTTGACAATATTTCAGGTCTGCATTTCTTCTGCATATAACAGGTAGTTTGCTAAGGAATATGAAATATCCTGACCATTTGAGCCACGTAGGGCAGCAGGTAAATTGCTTCTTGGAAAAGAAAGCATGTTGGGACCCACACAGCAGGCCCATTTGATAGAATTATTTTCTTAGCTTGTTCCCACCACTCTCATCTGTCTGTCCCCTATCAGTCTTAGTACTGGTCAATGAGCAATCTTGGGCATGTTACCTCCTCTTCTGTATGTTTCGCTGCCTGTCCCATTATAGACTTAATTGATTTTAAAAACCCTGAGAATGTATATTGAGTTGTTACAGCCATTGGCTGGCTTCTTCCCTGCAGCTACAATCATCACCCACTCTAAGTGCATTTACTGAATGTTGAGGGTTAGCACTAAAGGTGGAGAGGCTTTATTCTTTCTGCTTTAGGGGTCGAGGGAGGGTCAGAAGATTCACATGTAAATGACATTCAACCAAGACTTGAAAATATATTTACTGGTGAGGCTTTTATGTCGCTGTCCTTTTCAAATTTAACCATTCTTCGAAATCGCATTCTGAAAGCAAGTCTACTTCTTCCTTTTATTCTCTATGGTCACTATGACAGAGGGAGGGAGGCTTTGGAACTGCATAAAGCAGATTATTCCTCCTATTCCCCATTTAGGGTCGACTATTACCTAGAACCCGCCAGCCAGGTCAGCCCTGGGGAAAAAGAGGCTGAGAGTGCAAAGTAGTATAAGCCGGCCAGCATCTTTCGGCAGACTCTGAGGAACGGGAGCTGGCTCAGCCTTTTGGAAAAGCAAGCTCTGCAATGTGCCCCACGGGCTAGGAGCTCCGCACCCGAGGCGCGCGCTTTCCCAGCTCCAGGGCGGGCTCCTGTTCCAGGACTAAATACTCGGTCTCAGTTTGACCCGCGTTCCATCTAGATCCAGCGCCAGCCGACTTAAAACCTCACCGGGAACCGGGCTATTTGCCGGAAACCGGGCTATTTGCCGAGACCCGCGCTGCAGCAAAGAGGCTCAAAGCCGCACGCGCGCAGGGTCACGTGGGTGGTGCGGGAGCTCTCCAGCACCCACGGGAGGAGGTGGGGAGCAGGGGGCGGGGCTGGCGGACGGGCCTCCCGTGAAGCCTCGCGCGGGGAAGGACCGGAACTCCGGGCGGGCAGCTTGTTGATAATATGGCGGCAGGAGCTGCTTGGGCATCTCGAGAAGGCAGTGGGGCCCACACCCGGAAGAAGGGTCTCTTCTCTGGCTAGTGCTACAGCTTCTAAGGACCCGGAAGTCCGGGCCAGTTGCTGAATGAGGGGAGCCGGGCCCTCCCCGGGACAGTCCCCCCGCGCCCTCCGCCCCGACCCGGGCCCCGCCATGTCCTTCTTCCGGCGGAAAGGTACCTGAGGGGGCGCCGGCGGGGGGCCAGGCCGGGCCTCTGGGGCGGCGGTGGGACCTTTGGCCCTGCGAGGGCTTCCTTCAGGGCGGCTGCAAGGCCCTTGGTGAGCCGCTCGCCCTCTGCTCAGACGCCCCCTGATGCCTTGCTGTGCTCCGGGACTCTGCAGGGAGGGAGAAGGCGGCGGCCTCGCGCGAGGTCAGAGGGGGAATGGTCGCGCCTGTCCAAAAGTGTCTCCTGGAACCCACGGAAGTTGGTGCTTGTTTGCTTAACGACTTTCCAGGGTTTTTTGTTCTTGTTTTTGCGTACTGTGGATCAAGATCGAGGAAAAAACATTTATACCCTTTGACGGAAGTTTCTGGCTTTTCCGAATATTGAGGGTTTAATGCCTGAAAGCAACATGTGAAAAATAGTTTTTTTCCAACCAGTGCTCGTTTCCAGTTTCCTCTTTTTTTTGGGGGGGGGGGGGGAAGGGATGGGGGAACTGCTGTTCCTAAAATAAAACGACTTACTACTGAAGTTTCTTAATGAGGAAGACCGCTTCTTTTGATGACTTAGCAAGTTTACTAATTACTGGAACCTTAACTTTACGAAAGAACTACTTATATTTCTGATTTTCAGTTGTAAAAGGTGCCCAATTATTAAGTAGAGGCATCATGATTTTGATCCTGGGAAAGGTCATTGCATTTCATTAAAAATACATATCCAAAGAGAACAAGTGAGAGTTTCTTACGATGGTAATGGTTAGTTTGTGAATTCTTGTTTCAAAGGAAAGGTTCCAGGTTTGGCGGGTGGGGCGGGGGGCGGGGGACACTAAATCATGGACTTGGGTTCACAAGACAGCTCATTTGCTAACAATGTAAACTGGTTTAGGCCAATTAACCCACTTTTCACTCTTTTCTCAGTGGAGAATCAGGTGATTCCTAAAGGCTCTATTGAACTCTGACTAAAAAATTCATCTTCAGTGGTTACAAGGTTTTAGTAACTGATGCTGGGTGATGAATGAACGAAACAGTACTGAGAGGATGAAACTGGTAAAATGATAGGATGCTTTATAAAGTTCCTAGGTAGAGAGAATATGTAGTTTATGTTGAAGTAGTTAGGATTTTTGTTGTTTGTTTTGTTTTTGGGAAAGAAAGCATTCAAAGATGGGGCTAATTAGGTGTTGCACAACATATTCTTGTCTCTATCCTCTACAATCTGCCAGGCACTTTGCTAGGACCTCATGATTAAGCACTCAACAAGAAAAAGCCCTACTGTATGAGTGTGTGTATCTCTTTGTGTTTACAAATTGAATAAAGTGTAATGAAAGAGTAATTGAAGAAAACCATATTTTGGTTAGATGTTAGGGAAAATTCAGCAGGTGATGTTGAAATATAAAGCCCAAAGGATTAGTGAGTAGGAGGTAACTTTAGAGAGGACTGGGAAGAGCACTTGAGACAAGAGAATAAAGAGCTTGGTGTGCTCTTCAAGAATAGAAAGAAGGCTACTGTGACTGGGGCATGGAGAGGTAGGCAAAGATCAGATGATTGAGAACTTTATAGATTGTGGTTAGGTTTCATTTTAAACACAAAAAGAATATTTTAAAATTCTTTGAAGAAGAATGATTCGATATGTTTTAAAAAGATCATTTTAGATGCATTTTGGAGACTGGATGTGGCAAGATTAGAAGCTAGAAACAGTCTTATTAGGGATCCCATCCAGGCCTTAAATGCCATCTTTAAATACTACCTATGTGTTTATGACTCCCAAATTTACACCTCCAGCTTGGTTCTTCACCCCTAAATACAGACCAATTGTTGGTCTGCTTTTTATCTCTACCTGACAAGTTTATTTACAATATCTAAAATTTAACTTCAGATTTAGTCCTTCTAAACCTGTTCTTCATATTTTTGGTCTTTTAATGATGCTCTGACTTAAACTTTGGTACATTGTTGCCTCCCTCCCTTCTCTCCTATTGTATATCTGATCATCAAAAAATTTGTTAGGACTATCCCAGGTTGTGGCCAAATCCAACCACTTTTCACCATTCTCACCCTGGTCTTGGATTGGGGAAAGAAAGCATTCAAAGATGGGGCTAAATAGGTGTTGCACAACATATTCTTATCTCTGTCGTCTCCAATCTGCCAGGCACTATGCTAGGACCTCATGATTAAGCACTCAACAAGAAAAAGCCCTACTGTATGAGTGTGTGTATCTCTGTGTGTTTACAAATTGAATAAAGTGTAATGAAAGAGTAATTTAAGAAAACCATCCTCTTTGTTTAAATTGAGTGGCTAAGACAAGCCCTATGAGGAGATGTCATTTGAATCTTAGTTTAAATGTTAAGAGAGGAAGCAGCATTATTTTGCTATAGCCTTGTGTTTGGTTTCCCTTCCATTTTTCATTCATTTGTTATATTTTCAAAAGAGATGCACAAAAATAAATCCAGGTTATATATGGGAACTGGGTATGTTAAAAAGAGTTCCTAAGGGCTAGCGTTGTGATTCAGTGGTAGAGCGCTTGCCTGGCACATGTGAGGTCCTGAGTTCAATCCTTAGCACCACATAAAATAAAAGAATAAAATAAAGCTATTAAAAAAAAGTTCCTAGTCAGTTGGGAAAGGATGAATTAGTAAATGATACTGGTTTTCTATGTAGCAGGAAAAAAAAAAAAAGTCCAATATATAGCAGGGGACAGCAGGCTTTTTCTGTAAAGGACCGGAAAGTAAATACTTTAGGATTTGCAAGCATTATACTCTCCTCTAGCTTTGTGGCTATAGGCATTGTGTAAACAAACGGGCATGGCTATGCTACAGTAGAACATTATTTATAAAAAATGTGATAGGCTAGTTTTGACCCATGAGCAATGGTTTGTTGATCCCTGATACACAGAAATAAATTCCAGGTAGATAAGAGCCCTAAATGTGGAAAAGCAAAAGCTGAAATCATAGAACAAAGAAGGAAAAATCTGACCATGGAATAGAAAGGATATATATTTTTTTATTGACTTTTTTTTTTTTTTTTAGGTGGACACAATATTTTATTTTTATGTGGTGCTGAGGATCGAACCCAGTGCCTCACGTATGCCAGACGAGCGCACTACTACTTGAGCCACATCCCCAACCCAGGAAAGGATATTTTTAAAAAATCAGTCTAACCCCAGCAACTCAGGAAGCTCAGGGAGCCAGATCCTGCCCCAATATAAAAAAAAAGCACTGGGAATATAGTTCAGTAATAGAGCTCCCCTGGGCAATCCCCTCAAAAACAACAAAAAGCCCCAAATCCCCACAAGAGCCAGGTGTCACCTCATGCTTTCAATTCCAGCTGCATGGGAGACTGAGATGAAAGGACAGCAAATCAGGGCTAGCCTGGGCAACTAAGGGAGACCCCCTTCTCAAAACAAACAAAATAACATAGTCTGTAATGTTAATCTAGCTACTTAAAAAACAAAACAAACAAATAAAAACAAAACAAAAAAACTTCCATACAATAAAATATGCCTAGGATAGTTACACAAATAACAAAAAGGTTTAATATGTGTAGACTTAAAAGGACACGAGAAGAAGTCTCAGTGGTCAATAAACACGAAAGGTGTCTAATCTCAAGGAAATTAAGTTAAAACATCAAATAGCATTTCAAAACTAGTAACTTGGCAGAAATTAAAAATACTAAGGATGAGAATATGAAAGCCTGGCTTGGTGGGGCAAGCCTGTAATCCCAGAGACTCAGGAGACTGAGGCAGAAGAATTGCAAGTTCAAAGCCAGCCTCAACAATTTAGCGAGGCCCTCCGCAACTCTGCAAGACACTGTCTCTAATAAAATATTTTTAAAAAATATTTTACATAAACACATTTTTGTTTATTTTTATGTAGTGCTGAGGATTGAACTTATGGTCTCACACGTGTGGGGCAATCGCTCTACCACTGAGCTACATCCCCAGCCCTAATAAAATATTTTTAAAAAGGGCTGGGGCTGGGGTTGTGGTCAGCTGTAAAGCGCTCACCTTGCACATGTGAGACCCTGGGTTTGATCCTCAGCACCACATAAAAATAAATAAGCAAAATAAAAATATTGTGTCCATGTATAACTTAAAAAAAAGGAGGGGGGCTGGGGATGTGGCTTAGTGGGTAAGTGCCCCTAGGTTCAATCCCTGGTACCTTAAAAAAAAAAAAAAAAAAGAAGCATGGCTTTTGTTGTATAAATTGGTTCAGTGTTTTCATTAAAATGTAATAATTGAGCCAGCGCAGAGGCACCTGCCTGCAATCCCAGTAATTTGGGAGGCTGAGGCAGGAGGATTGCAAGTTTAAGACCAGCCTCAGCAATTTAGTGAGGCCCTAAGTAATTTAGCAAGCCCCTGTCTCAAAATTAAAAAAATAAAAATGTGGCTCAGTGGTTAAGCGCCCCGTGTTAAATCCCCAGTATCAGAAAAACAAAACAAAACAAAAAAAAACCCCACAATTTGTTATTTAGTAATTTCATTTCAAGGAATTTATATTGGATTCTTGCATATATCATAGGAAAACTGTACCAGAATGTTTATCACATCGATGTTTATTGTGAAAATTAGAAATAAAGTACATGTTTAATAATATAAAAGTGGGTAAATATATAAAGGAATTAGGTGTGTAAAATAAACTAGAGCTACATGAATGAACTAGAACTGCATTTATAGGTGTCATGTTGAATGAATACAAGTCAGATAGGTATAGAATACTGTTTACGTATTTTATTTTTTTGTTGGGAACTCAGGCATACTAGACAAGCACTCTACCACTGGATTACCCGCCTCCCCCCCCCCCCCCCCCCCCCAAAAAAAAAAAAAACAAACAACAACCCTCATTTGTGTAATTTTTAAAGATGTATAGGATTTGCAAGCCTTATGGTGTTGCATTTTGTTGTTGCTTAATGTGTGTATATGTGATAACAGTGTCAGTGGGTTGTATGTACATTTTTATGTTTGAAGTGTAATAGGAGCTCTGATTAGAAGAATTATTTTGAAGGTGGAAAATAGCTGTGGAGATAGGTATATTTCGGTGGTAGAATCAGTTTTTCTTAGAGGAGGTTTCAGTGTGGGAGGTAAGGGAAAGAGTAGAGAATGTTAAGCATTACTTTCAGATTTTTGGCCTGAGTTTTAGATGGCTGATGGTATTATTTAATGGGGGAAGATGAAGACTGAGGTAGAAACAGGTTAGAGAAAAGATGATACGTTACCAGACAAGTTAATGGTTAGCTATATGAACCAGAGATGAAAAAAGATTTAGAATGGAGACTTAAAATTTAGGAATTATAACTTATCTATGGTACTGAAAGAATGGGAACCCTGATCTTTACATATTGTACATGTACTGAAATGTCACTCTGTACCCCATGAATATGTACTATTACTATATGTCGGTTAAAAAATATGTTTTCTGGGATGGGATTGTGGCTTAGTGGTAGAGCACTTGCCTAGCATGTGAGGCACTGGGTTTGATTTTCAGTACCACATATGAATAAATAAAATAAAGTCCATTGACAACTAAATTTTTTTTTTTAAATATATTTTTTCAGGGGCTGGGGTTGTGGCTCAGTTCATGGCGCACTCGCGTAGCATGCACAGGGCACTGGGTTCGATCCTCAGCACCACATAAATGTAAAAGATATTGTGTCGACCTAAAGCTAAAAAATAATATTATATATTATATATTTAAAAAATATATATATTTTTTCCTAAAAAATGGGGAAGATCAGGTAGAAAATTACACATGTATATGGATTAAAAGAAAAGAAGCACCCACACTTTTCCTGAGAAACTCCCAATGGGCAAAGGAGGAGAGGCCAGTAAGGGATAAGAGCTGAGAAATGACTAGAAAACTAGGAGAGTAGGGTGTAACAGGAGGCAAGACAATTTGATGTTTCAAGCGAGAGATTTGTTTGGTTGGTAGATGCAGCTCTTCACCAATTACTCTGCATTTCCTGTTTTTGTGATCAGTACCTGAGATGCTCTTACTTATTTTCTCCATTGCTGGTCTCTGCACACTTGCAGGTAGACTTCTTTATGGAAGGATCACTGCCTTTACTGAGACAGAAGAGAATCTGGCACATGCTAGGCACTCAAATTGTTAGTGGATTAACACTCAATGAGATACTCTTGAGAGTTATTTCCTCCTACTAGCATTTAAACTTTTAATATTTCCGAGCACAGGTAGAGAGATGGGCAAATTTTGGGATCTCTTATTTTGATAATCTTTTCATGATGGGTTTACAGACTATTGTTGAAAGAAAAACAAGAAAAGTGAAGAAGGTTAAAAATAGTCTTCTGTCAGATCCTGTAATGGAGTTCACACTTGGCTTGACTTCCTTTCTTGGATGTTATATTGTTAGCTTATCTGCAATAGACTTTTTCACTGTTTTGTGTAATAGAGGAAAAATTATATGATCACTTTAGAGACAACTTGTTAGATCTTGAATGTTAGGAGGTTTAGAATGTAAGTTTAGAATGTTTGCCTTTTATTGGCATGGGGGGGATTCAGAAGTAAGATGATATACAACCAAAGAAATCTTTTTCTTTACTATGATTATAATACCCAGTATAGTGGATGGCATGTGGTAATAATATTAGTTAACATTTATCCTAAATTTACTTTTAGTTAGTCTTCAAATGCCCTTTACAAGTGTTTATTTTTTCATCATAAGCTAAGGTAGGTTTTATTATTGACCTATTTTTTTATTAATCAGGGAGATTAAGACACAGTGAAGGAAAGTAACTCATTCATGGTTAATAAGTGGGAGAGGCAGAATTTGAACATAGGTGTTGTGACCACATGGTTTCCCCATACACAATGCCCAGTGTTTTTTGACTGAATGCTGTTCAGAGGTCACTTTCTTAGAGAAAGTTTTCCTGATAGCTGCGTTACCCTGTCCTGCTCCAAGGCCATTAGTCCATTTTTCTGGAACTTCCAATACTCATGTGTTAGAATAAAGCTTCTCTGAGTTTTACAATGTATAGCAGGGATCTCTTTGACTACAGAGGTTGGTTATGATTCACTTTTGTCTTCTAGTGAAAGGCAAAGAACAAGAGAAGACTTCTGATGTCAAGTCCATTAAAGGTGAGTTCATCCAAAGTGATGTCTTCACATTTATGAGCTTTTTAATTGCATTTATGAGCTTTACATGTATTAGCTTTTTAATCCTGTTATCTTCTCCCTTTTGGCATTAATCATTTCTTTTTAAATTATTATCGTATTTTAAATTATTATCATATTTTAAAATTATTTATGATTGTGACTTATTTCCTTCTTTAACCTGTAACTCCTTAACAACTATCACATAATAGTCTTTAACAGAGCATTTGGTGGCTACACTAGTGAACCAGCACCCTTCTTATTCATAACACATTGGATTGTTCCCTAAAAAGTGATTAGCTATCTTTATTCACTAAAACAAAACAAAAGACTACTCACTTGAACAGTTTTGACTGCTAAGGGAAAGCACTCCCATTTATAAGTCTTGGTTTTCTGTTTATTCAGAAATGTGAATGATTATTTTAAAATTTATTTAGACAACTTTGTTCTCAATACATTGTCCTTATTTATAGGTTACAGTGCGCTTTTTTTTTTTAGATTATAATCTGCTATGTTTTTGACTCATTCCATTAGAGATTGTAATGGGAAAATTACAATGGGAATTATTTCCATAGTCACTAGATATAAATTTTGTAAATGTAACTTAATTTCATCAAATCTGTAGATTGTACATTTAGATTTTTTTTTTACAGTGTTTATCTGTTGTGTAGCTTACATGGAATGTTTATATAATGTTTATTATATATGTTATGTTCAATTTGCCAGAGAAAGAATGATTATAATTTATTATGAATTTTGCAAGATCAGCTTTATTGTCTATTTTTTATAATTTAAAGCCAGTTGAATCTCACATTAGTTTACACTGCTTTCTTTAAGCCAAATTGATTGGCACTAATAAAGTCTGAAAGCCCTTAGCCAGTAGAAGCTTGTAAAAACTAGATCTGATTGTGTGGAAGGAAGGAACTTTGATATCTCAGGAAGTTAGAACACACCAGTCTTCTACTCCAGACTTTGCCACTGACAGTCTGACCTTGGGAAGTCATGTAACCTTTTTCAGATTCTTCATTTGTGGAATAATGGGATTGGCCTAGCTGGTTTCTAGATTTCTAAATTTAAAATCCAGGCTAAAAAATTTCAAGCTCATATTACCTTGTTGCAATACATAATTGGTGCTTCATAATCACTGACTTAATCTTAAAACAATACAAAAATAGTACAGGAAACACCCCTTCAAGAAGTTTGCAGTTTAATTGAGAGGGGAAGCAGTTTGCAGTCTGTGATTAGAAGGACAAGCTTAGTCACAGAGCAGTAGCAAATAAAGCAGAATAATAATAGCTACTGTTTGTGAAATATGCCTTTTGTTTTAGTTATTAGACAAAAACTGTGGCTGTAACAGTGAACAAAAAGGACTTATTCTTAATGAAATTGCAAATTGCTACAGGAGAGGAACATTAATCAAATAATCCCACAGGTAACTTGGGCTAGATTAGTAGTAATGGGAATAGGGAGATCTAGACTGATTTGAAAAAAATTTTAGGAGCTAAAATGAATAGAACTTTGTTATTGATTAAATATGAGGTATGAAGGAGAGAGAGATTTAAGGTTAATGGCTACCTTTCTGGCTTGCTAAACAGAACAAAGCTGGAAAATTATATGTTCAGTTTTAGTATTTAGAGGGGTAAGTGCTTTTGAATTACTAATTTACGTATGTTACATGCGCAGATAATTTTAGGGTCTAATTTTTAATCAAAGGATAGAGACTCTATGGTTTAAGTCCTACCTGTTGAAATGTTTCTTTACTAGCTGATAGACCTAGGGCAAACTATTTAATTTCTTTTACACTTGTGTCTTTACCTCTAAAACAGGGATTCCTGGATTATTATGAGAGAAATAAAATATTGTCTTCCCCCCAAAAGAAAGTGTTCATTAAGAAACCAGTATAGTGCCTAGTAATATAAAGTAGATTCTCCATTGGCAGCTATTATCTAGTTTTAGCATAGTAGTCCCTCAGGGTTGAATTAGTCAAATTAAGAGAAGTATCGCAAGGAGTTCAGATGAGTTTGCAATTAATAAATAATTTCTGAAGTTGAGGAGAAACTTATGAAAATGAGACCTACCTTGTATAAAAGTTGAAAGGTTTGAATGAAAGAGATGATTCTTTCCCTGCCAGCCTAGCATTTTATTATTTCTCCTCCTCCTCTCTTTCTTCTTTCTTCTTCCTTCTTTCTTTCTTTCTTTTCTTCTTCTCCTTTCCTTTTCCTTCTTCTTCTTCTCCTTCTCCTTCTTTGGATTTGAACACAGGGTCCCTCAGCCACTGAGCCACAGTCCTGTTTTGTATTTTATTTGGAGACAGGGTCTCACTGAGTTGTTTAGCTCCTCACTATTGCTGAGGCTGTTTTTGAACTTGTGATCCTCCTGCCTCAGCCTCCCGAGCTGCTGCTGGGATTACAGGTGTGGACCACCGAGGCTGGCTAGCATTTTATTTCTTTGAGTGTATATTGTTCAGGAGAGCTTCACGTAAGAAAAGGGAAATACTTGCAGAAAGATTGAGATGATATTTAGAGGGTCCTTAATGGCCAGAAAAGAAAGTAGAGACAGAAAATGGAGTCAACATGGCTACTTACTGGTGTTTATGAAAGGTCAGTCAGTTAGGTAGGATAGAGACCTTAGAAGTTCTTTTCTTAGTGCAGTTGAAAATGAACAGATAAATAAATGTTTAAACATCTTGAAAGAAAAGTTTACAGATATTGGCAAGTAAATAGATACAGTGAAATGAGACAATGAAGCTGGGTGCACGCCCAGCTTGGGAGGCTGAGGCAGGAGGTTCATAAGTTCAAAGCCAGCCCCAGCAACTTACCGAGTCCATAAGCAACTCAGTGAGACTTTGTCTATATATAAAACATAAGAAAAAGGCTGGGGATGTGGCTCAGTGGTTTAGTGCCCAAGTTCAATCTCCTGTACCGAAAAAAAAGAAAGGTGGGGGAGACCTTTTTTGAGATTCAGAGACTGGTGGATTGAACAGAGATCAGGAAATTAGGAAGGAGAATTAGTTTAGAAGAATATGTGATATTTAGAAGTTTGATATTTTAAAGAATTGAGCTTGATAGCTTGTGGAACCAACCTACCAGTAGATGAATGGATAAGGAAACTTTGGTGTGTGTGTGTGTGTATAATTGAACATTACTCAGCATTAAAAGAGAATAAAATCATGGTATTTGCAGGTAAATGGATGGAGTTGGAGAATATGCTAATGAAGTAAGCCAATCCCAAAAAACCAAAGATTGAATGTTTTCTTTGATATGAGGATGCTGACTCATAATGGCAATGGTGGGGGATCAGAGGAATGGAGGAACTTTAGATAGGACAAAGGGGAAGAAGGGGAAGGGGGGTGAGGGGGTAGGAATGATGGTGGTATGAGTTAGACATCATTACCCTAAGTACATGTATGAAGACACGAATGGTGTGAAAATACTTCGTGTACAATCAGTGACTCAAAAAATTGTGCTCTATATGTATAATATGAAATGAATTGCATTCAGTTATTGTGTATAACAAATTAGAATAAATAAATAATTTAATAAAAAAAAGAAGACTTGAGCTTAAAATGGCAAAGTCAAAGTGAGAATATATAATAGTAAATGATTGAAGATACAAAACTGGAGTCCAGGTTAAAGAATAGGTCTGAGAAGTCAGGAATTCTCCAGCTATTCTACAGAAGTGTCCACTTTGAGGCATGAGTAAGACTGTACCTTTGAATCAGCCAGAATGAACTCTGGTTTTATCCATTTTACAGGCATATCAGGGTCTGTATTTTATTAAGTTTATTTAGGCAGTGGAAGAAAAAGAGTTTACAGCTTTAGAAAAAGGAAAGTTTAAAAACTCGCTCTGGTAATATTGGAGGTTTAAGAATAAATGTGCTGTCTAGCAGAAAGAATTAAAGAACAGCCTGAGGAGGACCAGAAGTTAAGGAAGAAGACCATTGCTGACGCAGTGGACATTTAATAAATGTATACCTAAAGAATGAGAGGGATGAACAGATAGAAAATTAGTGATTACCATGGAGGCTGAAGTCAGATGGAATATCAGGAAGGAGCAGGTAAATAAGAGGTACTAGTTCTAACAAGTTAAGGGTGGGGGAAGCCTTGCACAAGTGAGTTAGTAGTATATTACATTATTATAGATGTCTAATTAAGAAACAATTAGAAAGTCTAACCATTCCCATGGGATCTTACTTGTAATTTATTGTTTGTATAAGAAAACTTGCTAAAATGATTTTGCTCCCTTTAATTTAACATGAAAATAAAAATAAAGTTTTCTTCTAAAGTTGAGCAAATAGTTTGAAGGCATTTACTCTCCATCCCATAATTCCCAAAATTCTTATTGAATGATGGATAAATTTAAATACCTGGTAAACATGCATAGATATCCATATTTTAAAATATTTTATCCTATAAACACATATCAAAGAGCCATCGACTGAATTATAGTACTATGCGCTCTTTGTACATAGTTCATCTTCATTACTCAGATTTTGCATCTGAGACTATTGCTGAAATTGAGAGCATTTATGAAGGATACTAGGATATTCAGCTTTAATTATCTGAGAGCATTTATCTTGAGGCAGAGACTGTTTAGTGACCTTTATCATTCCTCTCCTTCTTGTTATAGCAAGAAGGCAAAACTTCTTAAAAACCTTTTATGAGAGTCATTGATAATTCTGTGGAATACATAGGATAGGTAGAATCTTAATTATCTATACTTTGACAGTATTGTTATATTGAGTGATTTCCTATTAGTGAATTGGTAACTAACTTCTTTATTCTGAAGTCAAAAGGATGACTTCAAAGTATTTCTTCAGACTACTAAACAAAATATATTTTTTAATTTTTTTATATATTACTGGTGATTGAACTCAGGGCCTCACACATACTTGGCAAGCATTCTTCCACGAAACTTTAATTCCATCTCATTGTAAGTTTTACGTGTGCTTCATCTTTGAACTTTAATCATCAATATATTTTATTAGATGAAGAAATCTTGTTACTCAACTAAAAAAAATATTCTAAAGATTATTTCTTCAGTTTTCTCTCCCCCAGGTATTTATTTTGTAATTTTGGTTTTGCTTCTGAAGCAAGCAAGGATTAAAAAATTGAAAAGGGTCCATATTTCAGAATGGTTTGGTACTTTCTATTCTCCATAAACAAAGTTCTCAAAGAAGTATCTATTTTATTCACTTTAAGTACAGTATTTTGAGAGTTATAAATAATGTTAAGTGTTTTCTTTCCTATTTTTTGCTATTTGATTGTGTTATCTTTCATCTTAAGTATTTTTTGTTGAGTATGCTGCTTAAGCAGAGTGTTATGTAACTTAATTTTAAAGTTTTCTGAAAGTTGTCTGAAGAGTTTTAGGTTATTATATTGTGTTTAATTAACGGCTTTTTTTTTTTTTTTTTTAATTACAGCTTCAGTATCTGTACATTCCCCACAAAAAAGCACTAAAAATCATGCCTTGCTGGAAGCTGCAGGACCAAGTCATGTTGCAATCAATGCCATTTCTGCCAACATGGACTCCTTTTCAAGTAGCAGGACAGCAACACTTAAGAAGCAGCCAAGTCACATGGAGGCTGCTCATTTTGGGGACCTGGGTAAGTGGCTATCACTTTTTGTTAACTCTGATAAAGAAAGGACTTGAGTACAATATGTGAAACTCCTGTCGTAGTGTACTGAACAATGTCATTGGAAGGGATTTTGAAAAAAATATATTTAAATTAAAGTAGAGCAATGAGTGTTATAGGTGACAACTGTGTTATGTTCCTATAAATATACAAAATGTAAAGCATGACTAGTATAAAAATGAGCAATTTCCAGAAGTATATTTGACCATTAAATACATGAAAAAGATGCCTTACTTCAGTAGTACTGAGGGAAATCTAAATTAAAATAATGGGTTTAAGCACATTAACACATATTTAAGGTTTGGTAATTTGAATATTAGTGAAGAAGCAGGGAAATGACCACTCCCTTAGTGATGGTATAAATTGGTGAAAACTCTTTGGAAAGCAGTCTGTTTGATAGTAATTGTCAAAATATAAAGTATTTATGACATATAGGCAACGCTTCTTTGTAAAACTTGGCCTTTGGCGATACTTGCATATATGAACAAAAATGTGTAAGTATGTGTAAAAGTTATTTGTAGTAGTGTTGTTCATGATAGCAAAAAATTAAGAACAACGTATAGATATCTGTTAGGAGAGAAATAATCAAATTTGCTATATCCTGGAATACAATGTAGCCATTTAAAAGCAGTAACCATTTAAATACAATGTAGCCATTTTAACTTCAGAGAATATCTTAAGATGCCTTAAAGTGAAAAATGGTCACATAGGGGTGCATATAGTAAGATCTCTGTTATGTTAAAATAACTCTCCCCCATAAAGAGATATGTAGGAGATCCTTGTTTTCTGAGTATTTGTTACTCAGACTTCTTCACTTATAAAAATTGCACGTCATAAATAGAAAAAAATTCATAATGAATTGACTTCTAATGAAATTATTCCTTTTTTTGATATCTCTTTGCTTAATATTTTATATACTCAAAGCCAGGATGCCTAATCTTTCTGGGTTGTACTCAACAATGCACTTCAAACAAATGCTTATTGGTCACAAAGTAAAATTATAAGTTTTACTGGACATATTGTTGGTGGGAATGTAAGTGGTATAGTCACTCTCAAACAGTGTGACATTTTCTTGTAAAGCTAAACACAGAATTACCATATGACCCAGTACTTGCACTTTTAGACACTTATCTTAGAGAAATGAAAATTTTATGTTTACATAAAAACCTGTACACAAATGTTTATGGCAGCTTACTAGTGATAAAGTGAATGTCCTTCAATAGCTAAATGACCTGGTAAATTCATACCACAGAATACTACTTAAAAATAAAATGAAATAAACTATAAACACAACAGGGATGAATTTCAAGGGAATTGTGGTAAAAGGCAAAAGCCAATCACAAAAGGAATGTTACTGAAAGCCCAGCCCTTGTCCCTGATGCCAATCAAATAAGGAGGATAAGATTTTGAGAAAAAGGAAAAAAGTTTTATTTCTTTGCTAGCAAAGGAGAAACACAGGGGATTCCTGTCTGAAAGGCCGTGATTCTGCCCATCAGTAGGAACACAGGGCTTTTAAAGAGGTGGTTAAAGGATACATTCTGTATGGCCTCTGTTGAAGTTGTAATTTACTCTTTAATTTGGGAGATAGTCAATTCTGAGATCTTCTGGTACCATCCCCAGAGTCTAGATTACTTCATTCCAATGGTGGGTATGTATTCAAGGACAGATAAGTCTGCCTAGGATAGTGAAAAAAGGTGATCCTGTTTCCCCTAAGATTAGGGAGGGGGAGAGATTAAGGAGGAGCAGGGAGGGGAGGAGAAAGAAACATGTCCATTTTAAAAATCATTTGCAGTGGCACAGCACCAAGGGCTATATTCAAAGCATAAAGTGGACCACTGTTACAGCAAAAGTACATTTGCATAGCATTCTTGAACTGATAAAATTAGAGAAATTAAGAAATTAGTGACTGCCAGTTAGTGATGGGGGAGGTAAGGAGACTTGGTGAGTATGGTTATGAGTGGGCAGCATGAGGAATCCTTGTGGTGTTGAAACTTTAATGTCTTGGCAATGGATACATATATCTACACATGATAAAATTACATAGAACTAAATATACACAAATGAATACAAGTAAAATTGAGGAAATCTGGAATAAAATTGGTGGATTCTATCATTGTCAGTATCTTGGTATAATATTGTACTCTCGTTTTCGAAGATATTACTGTGCTGGAAATTAAAAAGCTCAAGGGCTCTTCCTTTCTTTCTCTCTCCCTCCCTTCCTTGATTGGGATAGAACCCAGGCCTTGTACATGCTAGCTAAGTAGCTTATTGCTGGGCTACACTCCCAGCCCTTCAAAGGATTTTTCTATATTATTTCTCACAATTCTGTGTGAATCTATCATTATCTCAGGGTTTAATTAAAAGAAATTTTAAAGTTTTGCAAAATATCAGGATTTCCTTAAATTCATGAAGTGATACTATCAAAGATGGACTTAGTTAACATTGATGGCAAGATAGTCATGAGAAATGATGACACATGAAGTGCTTCAAAAGAGAAGCATTTGAATATCAAAGGATTAAGGAAAGTCCTTTTGAAAAATTAATGAAACCCTCAGCTAATTTTATAAATTTTTATAAATTTATATGACCCTTTACAATCATACTGTGAAGGCCAAAAATTTTTCTCACTTTTTTGGTTACCCTAATAATTGGCTTGTGGTTATAATGGTAAACTAAATTTAACTAAATATAAAATAAGAGAAATGTATCTTTTATTAAGTTTTATTCTTTGAGATAAGATCCCAAAGCCATTATGGAGAATTCATGACACCTTTATAGCTATATCCACATGTCCACAATTTTTCTTCAGGACAAGTGCTCACAAGTGGAGTTATTGGATTGAAAAACTTTTGCTATGTTTTTCTAACTTGCTAGTTTGCTAAGGCTTTACTGTGTGTTCCTGAATGCTCCCTTGAAAAGATTTTGCCAGTTAATAGTCTTATCACCAGTATCTGAGAGTGTTGCTGATGTCCCCATGCCCTTGATAGTGCTTATTTATTTATTTTGAAAAAACATTTTCCAGTGTGAGAGGCAAAATGTCATCTTACATTACTTTACTTTTCTGGTTTTTTTTTTCTTTTCTTTTTTTAGTTGTAGATGGACACAATACCTTTATTTTATTTATTTACTTATTTTTATGTGGTACTGATAATCAAACCCAGTGTCTCACTGAGCTAGGCAAGTGCTCTACCAGCCCTTTCCGGGATTTCAATGAGGTTAAAACTTTTTTTAAAAAATAATTTTATTATCCCTCTTTATTGGCCCTTTTTCTTTGGGACTGGTATCATAGGTTATTCATACCATAAGATTATTTTTTTCTTTTAAGAATTTACATATTCTGGGGCTGGGGTTGTGGCTCAGTTGTAGAGTGCTTGCCTAGCATGGGTGAAGCCCTGGGTTATAAATAAAATATAAAATAAAGGTCCATGGACAACCAAAAAAAAAAAAAAGAATTTACATGTTCTGAATTAATACTAAGGAGATAATAAGGATTGAGTAACAAAGTATTTTTCGGTAATTTAAATAGTTTTAGATGGTTGTTTTTTGCATTGTTTAGAAACCAAAATCATAGTATCTATAGTTCATTTATTGTGGTTGCTAGGAAACAAATTTTATTTAAGAACCCTCTGGTATCCTTGTTGCTAAAGGTGATTGAATAATCTTTCTATGTGAAATTATTTGTTACCTAACTGCTGACTTTTTTGCTTCTTTTAGGCAGATCTTGTCTGGACTACCAGACTCAGGAGACCAAATCAAGTCTTTCCAAAACCCTTGAACAAGTCTTGCACGACACTGTTGTCCTCCCATATTTCATTCAATTCATGGAACTTCGGAGAATGGAGCATTTGGTTAAATTTTGGTTAGAAGCTGAAAGTTTTCATTCTACAACTTGGTCCCGAATAAGAGCACACAGTCTGAACACAGTGAAGCAGAGCTCTCTGGCTGAGCCTGTATCTCCATCAAAAAAGCATGAAACTACAGCATCTTTTGTAACTGAGTCCCGTGACAAGAGATTGGAGGGTTCTAGCTCAGCCCAATTGCTTATGACTCAATCAGAAGGAATTAGCCTGAATAATAGAACTAACAACACTCAGAATCACTTGCTGCTTTCCCAGGAATGTGACAGTGCCCCTTCTCTTCACCTTGAAATGGCCAGAGCAGGAGCTAGTCAAGTTTCCATGGAAACTCAAGAATCCTCCTCCAGACTTATAATAGCCAGTAGAAATAGTCCCTCTTCTCCACTAAAAGAATTGTCAGGAAAACTAATGAAAAGTAAGTATGTGGTTTTCTTGTTTTAATTCACAAAGCAGAGCTTAAGATGAGAAATAAAAGCATTAGAATAGTATTCTCTTTTCTACCTGCTTGCAAATTTGGAATGATTTGGAAAGTGGAGTAGAATCACATCAGTGTATGAAAAAGGAGCAGGAGGGATATCTAGAGTGACTACATCCTCTAAGAGTTGGAAATCAAACCATTATCCGTAGATTATCCATATAGGCTTATTTTTTCCGTCTCAATCTATTTTACTGCACTTTGCAGATAAAGTTTTTATATATATATTTTTAATTGTCATCAAGTGCCGTGAGGTAATGTATTGAGTTCTGTGCTAAGTGTATATTTGGATTTCATTTAATAGCCACAACACTTATATGAAGTAGGCATTGTTACCTTGTTTTATAAAGGAGAAAATCGTGACTCAGCAAGGTTAAGTAACTTGCCGTGGGTTGTACAGTAAGTGAGGAACTGGAATTAAAACCTAGGCATATTGACAACAGCATCCCTTTTCTTTCAATTCTCTTCTCTTCTCTTAATAGTTTAGAAATTGCACACTCCTTTTCTTTAGTTATCACCTTCTGGAATTCCCATTGCACAGCCTCTGTGTTTTTATCTGTTCTTTGTTTCTCAAAAGGCTGGTGGTTTCTTCATGGGTTCATTGATTCTCTCTAAAGTTGGTTCTTCATTATTGAATCAACTTTGGCATGTTATTTTCATTGTAAAATGATTGAATTCTTCATTTCTAGAAACACTTTTATTTTCTTGAAATGTGTTTGCTTGTTTTTCATAGTTTTCTTGTTCCTTTTACCTTCATCCCACCTCTGATCTTGTCTTTCATTTCCTTAAACTTATTAAACATAGGGCTGGGACTGTAGCTTAGTGATAGAGTGCTTGCCTAGCTTGAACAAAGCTCTGGGTTTAATACACAGCACCACCAAAAATAAATAACTTTATTGAACATATCTGTCTATTGCTTTTATGGATCTGATTTAACATTTGTTTCTTCAGATTCATTTTCTTGATGTGGTGATTTCAATGATTTTTAGCTGTGAACTTGTTTCATGAATTTCTACCACCTTTTTCTAACCAGCTGAGCTTAACTGACCATCTGTTTCATGAACCTACCTGTGGGCATTCTTTAAGTATTCTGTGTAAATTAAGTTTTCAGGTGTATTTGCATTTGCTTTTGTCATGCACTTGGAGCTTGGTTCACTACCTTTCTGGTACTATTTAAAATATGTTTATTTGGGTTTTTAAGGCACTAAACCTGGGAGTAGTCTTGTGATCAGGAATTGTCAAAGAAGATTTTTCCTTTTTTACCTCTGGCATCAGAACACTGTTGTGTTCCTCTTAGAGGTCTTTTATTGCCCTCCTGAGTTAATCCACCAAAGATCTTGCCCTTTGAGCTTCTGGCTTTAGACATTCTATTTGTCTAATTTTCCTTGTTTGGGCCCTTTAATGTGAAGGCACTAGGTCTTTTTTTTATCCCTCCCACCCCCTTAAGTGAATGCTTTGTCTTGACTTTTTTCTATCTGAATTTGTACAGATTGCTATAAAATATAGAAAGCTTTGACTATCTGAAGTTATTTTTTTAACAAAACCTAACCTGAACTGCAATGAATTTTGTTGCAGAAATATAAATGTGTTTAATTATCGGGTATTGTCCCAGATAGTGCTATATGTTAAACATAGTGTGTCACCCCTATAAAAACCTTAAAACTTCTGAATTTCAAAGTACTACTGGCCCAAAGGTAAGGGAACTGTTTTTACTTGTTTGTGCCCTTTCTTTAACACAAGCTCTGATACACTTCCCTTCCCCTTCCTTTCTTGGCGCGGGCATTGATTCTAGGGGGCCTTGCATGGACTAGGCAAAACACTCTACCACTGATCTATATTCCCAGCCCTCTGCTATACTTTTAAAAGGCATTTTGAGGGAATTCAGTATTGGGATAAGTTTCTTTGAACATATAGTCTGGCATGTTTCTGGAAATGGAAATGTAAGGTTTGTTTCTTTAATTTTAATACGCTTTATTGTTTTTGGAAACAGTCTTTGCTTTGATGGTAATTTATTTCATTTAAAAAATATTGATAGCAATGGTCATTACTTTTTTCCTGTTTCAATTGTTATTTTAAAAATTTGTATATAGTAAATTTGACCTTTTAAAAATGTTTACTTGTCTGAATTTTAGCACATGTATAGATCCTTTTAACTATCACCACAGTCAGGACAAAGAAGAATTCTATCACCTTTGTAGCCAAACCCTTCTCTTCCAAATTTGGCAACCAGTGATCTATTTTCCATCTCTACAATTTCGCCTTTTCCAAAATGTCATATAAGTGAATTTATACAGAATATTAACCTTTGAGGTTTATTTTTATAGTTTATTTCTTTTTATTTCAAGTAGTATTCCTTTGTATTGGTATATTTCATTGGTCTACTGGAATATATTTGGATTGTTTCGCTTGTTGGTAGTTATAAATAGGAACTGCTGTAACCATTTGTGTATAGGTTTTTGTGTAGATATAGTTTTTATTTCTTTTCTACATAGGGCAAATGTCTGGTAGTGGGTTTGCTAGATTATGTGCTAAGTATATATTTAATTATATAAGTCCCTGCTAGACTGTTTTGTAGAAAGTATTTTGCATTCTTAGCAGCAATATATGAGTTCTAATTCCTTCATATCCCAACCAGCACTAATATTGTCAATGTTTTGTTTATTGTGTTTTTTAAAAACCATTCTAATATATGTGTAGTAGCATCTCATTTTGGTTTTACTCTGCGTTTCCCTGATAGCTAATGACGTCGAGTATTTTTTTGTGTATTTCTTATCCATGTTTTTAGTGAATTATTTAAATCTTTCCCATAGTTTATTGGGTTGACTTTTTCATTGTTGAAATTTTAGAGTTTTGAATGTATTTTGGATGTAATTTTTATTTTTTTTTTTATGTGATTTGCAAATGTCTACTTCCAGGTGAACATTCCAGTTTGACTTTTCATTCTTTTAACAGAGATTTTCTCAGAGCAGAATGATGATTAAGTCCATCTTACCCATTTTTTCTTTTACAGTTGTACAGAGGTCATGAAGAATTTCTCCCCATGTTTTCTAATAAAAGTATTATAGTTTTTACATTTCACAGTTTTATATATGATCCTTTTTGAGTTGATATTGTATAATTGTGATGGTTAAGTCAAGGCTTATGTTTTATGTTTATTTTGACAAATGAGTGTCTACATGTCCAGTTGTTCCAACATCATTTATTGAAAAGAATACCCTACTCCATCAGATTGCCTTTGTATCTTGGCCACATTGGTGTAGGCCTCTGAGTCCTCCAACTTTCTTCTTCTTTTTTTCTAAAATTATTTTGGCTGTTCTAATAATCCCCATTATAAATGTTAGAATTATATTGTCTACATCTACAAAAAAAAAGACCCTTCTGGAATTTTATTAAAATTGTGTTCAATTTATAAATTAGTTTGGGAAGAATTGACATGTTAATTATGTCAAGTCTTACAATCCATGAACATGGTATGTATATCCATTTACCTGGGCCTTTGGCTTCTTTTCATCAGCTTTGTATAATTTCAACATATGGATCCTTCATATTTTGTTAGAATTATATCTTAAGTATTTCTCTTTTTTTTCTTTTTGATGCTATTGTGAATAATAGTGCTTTAAAAATTGTGTTTTAAAATTTTCATGGCTTGCATATAAAACGATTGATTTTTTTTTATATTGATTTTGTATTCTGTGACTTACTAAACTATTATTCCTAGGAACTTTTTTGTAGGTTTCTTGGGATTTTTCTATATAAATAATCATGTGGTCTTATGAATAGGAATAGGGAGTTTTATTTCTTCATTTCCAATTTGTTTCTTCTTCTCTCTTTCAGCCTTGTTCTCCTGTCCTATTGCACTAGCTAGGACATCTATTACAGTGTTGATTAGGAATGGTGAAGCATTCTGTTTTTCTCATTAAGTCTGAGGTTAGCTATAGGTTTTTTGTAAATGCCCTTTATCAGTTTGATAAACTTCCCTTCTTGTGCTAGTTTGCTGAAAGTTGTTGTTGTTTTGAATCATAAATGGGTGTTGAATTTTGTCAGATACTTTTTTTCTGTGTTATTTGATACAACTGGTTTCCTTTTGTCTGTTAATATATTGGATTATATTGATTGGTTTTTGAATATTGGATCAGTGTTGTATTCTCAGAATAAACTCCATTTGCTTGTGGTATATTTTTATTTGTTGCTGGATTTGACTTCCATTTTTTTTTTTTTTTTTTAATTTTTGTAACTTTGTCTTGTATTGCTTTTATCTGGTTTGGGTATGTCAGATTTAGTTGGTTGATGATGGTATTCAGTTTTTCTATATCCTTGCAGATATTTTGTTTGCGATCATATTACTCTATTACTGAGAGAAGGTAGAAGTGGGTTGACGTCTCCAACTATAATTGTGAGTTTTTCCAGTTCTTTTTATTTTTATTGTTGTTGTTATTATTATTATTATTATTATTATTATTATTGTGGATTGAACCTAGGGGCACTTTACCAGCAAGCTACATCCCCAGCCCTTTTTACTTTTTGAGACAGTCTCACCAAGTTGCTTAGGGCTTTGCTAATTTGCTGAGGCTGGCTTCGAACTTGTAATCTTCCTGCCTCAGCCTTCTGAGTGGCTGATTACAGGTATGTGCCACTGCATCTGGTTCCAGTTCTTCTAATTCAGTCTGGTTTTGTTTTATGTATTTTTGAGGCCCTATTGTAAGGTATATACACATTTAGAATTATTTACTTTCTTCGTGAATAGCGTCTTTTATCATTGTATATACTTTTCTTTATCTAAGTCATGGTATACATTCTTCTTTTTTGTTAATATTTTTTTAGTTATCGATGGACCTTTATTATATTTTATTCATATGCAGTGCTGATAATTGAACCTAGTGCCTCATACATGCTAGGCAAGCACTCTATCACTGAGCTATAATCCCAGCCCTGTATATACT